GAGCCGGACGAGACGGGTCGGGACTAAAACCATGAGTACCGCCAGCGTACACGCTGGTGGTACTAATAAACCAAAAGATTGAAAGCCATCTGCACTAAGAGTAGTAGAGCAGAGTGACCTAATCTACAGAGTACAAATTGCCTTCATAGATCTTCATCTTTCAGCAAAACAAGTCAATCAATTACATGCATAGCATTGGAATCTGTTTTTCCTTGACTACCTAGAACCTGGGATTTGGTATTAAATTAAGCAATAGCAAAAAATCTTCATAATAAAAATATATGCATGTGGTTCATATCTGAACAAAAGGCAGAGTTGAAGAAACGTGTTAAAATAAAAGCAAAATGCTGATGACTTCCAAATTTTCCTTGCAAAGCAAAAGGTCAAATTATGACTAAAAATACCCCATAAAACTGGCAAACTGATTTTGAGAAAAATTTTGATATTTTTTTAATGACCAGTGTGAACTTTGTCATATTCACTCAGTGAAACACTGTATCAAAATTTTCTTCCTTTTTATTTTCTGAATTTCAGCCATTCCAATTAAAAATCTTATCTCTCTTCATTTTATCCCTTCAAGCATACTCTCAAATGATTTGGTTTTTATCTTCACAATTTTTGAAGCTGCCACATAGAATAATCATACATGTCTTCATACATTCAACCTGTTCATAGAAGACCACATATCAAGCCTAATTTTAATGACAGCCTTACTTTAGCCTTACTCTGTAGATTCAGCCTCAGAAATGTGATAACACTGCTCCTGTTTTCACAACAGTTTATCTGTCTCAATGATGATGATAATGGCATTTTGTTTCTATTAATATCCATATAATAACATTTTACAAATGCAGAAATACCTAACCCTGTCTGGACTGGAGAATTACCCTGCTGAAGACGAAATAAGCAGATGGCATCAGATTTTAACAATAATTCAAGCAAACAGCCTTGATTACTTCACCTCCTACAATCACACATTCCTTTTAGATATTTTGTACCTATTAGAAACAATAAAAACACACATCTTTCAATAAATCTTCTTAAAACTTAAGACCATCATTTGAAATTCTTACATCCAATGACAGCACTTTATAATACAGCATTCTCAGGTACAGACCTAAAACTTATTTTCAAAGTCAACCCTCAACTTCCTGTAGAGAAGCCAGACAGAGGACTGCAAATGAAAAACTGCAAGTCTGAATTTCACTAAAAAACACACAAATCAATCTTATTTGTTCACGCCTTGAAAATAAAATCTCCTAGGAAGCAAAAATCTATCATCAATTTCGCAATAGACACTGTTGTTTTGAAAGAAGCCAAAAACTAATGGAACTGGGGAGGTGATACCTGCAAACAAGTCTCAGTATTGGCTGTGCATCAAAACCAATATCTCAAATACAGAACTGAAATCCATTACCAATTCTGACATTTGTGCCATCTTCAAATTATACATTAATGTTAAATGTTAAAATATTTCACATTTGACGTTTTTAAAATCTTCTCTTAGCAACTGTAGAGCCACACTGAGTTTCAAATTATCTGGATGAGATCGTGATTTTGAAGTTAATGAGACGTATAAAGAGTAAGCCACAAAGAACTTTTTTTATGAAAGACTATGCAATTCTACACATTTCACACAAAATGATGTGAATAGCAACCAAATATTTCCCTGCAACATTTTTTTACAAATACCAATTATCATATCCATCACATCAACCTAAAAAGACCATCTTTCCACCAATTTTGTTAAATAAACCAACAGAGTCTTACCTGGGAAATGTTTCTGCACCACCCTCTGAGCTACATCAAACACATTGCTGTTCAGACTACTGTCTTCCTCATGCTGGAACCAGTACACCTTCTCTGGGATCACTTTGCCATTCCACTCCAGAACCAGTGGCAGCCTGAAAGATAAATAACAAACCATACAATACGTGTGCCATTGGCAGAAAATGCATGCGTTATAATTATGTGGCAAACCTAAAGAGATGTTATGGCTGTAATACTATCGGGGTGGCAGTAATTTGCAGTGTTTCTCTCCTTTTTTCAATGAGAAACCTGAAGACATTTCTATGATGGATAAAAGCTTCGGTCTTCCTAAGTGAGCTCTTTTAACATGTGGTAATAGACAGCTGACGCGCCAGCAGATTGCCAATGCTGGAGACAAACAATTGATACAAATTACTCCCACTCTCAATGAGCAATCAACAGAAAGGCCATTCATATTGTGAGATTTAAGCAGAGCCAATAAATTTAACAACTTCAGAAGTCAAAAAACCAGTTTAACTCCAGGGTTGAAAAATAGGGAAAAACTATCTGCCAATTATCGACTAAAAAGATATCTACAATAAAACTGCTTCCAGTAATGCTGCTGAAGAAGCGCTTAGCTTTTTATCAAGGCCACCGTTCTGTTCAGATTGATTTTTCACATAATTCCCAGTGTTAAAACCTAATGACAAAACTGGTTATTTGTGACCATTTTATAGAGCAGAATTAGAAAAATACTTCTTTCTCAAAGAGAACTGTAGAACCATAAAACTTGAATATTATACTTACTTATATGTACATAAAATGTTTGCTTGGATAACCAATAAACTCCTAACAAGCGACTGATTGTTTGAAAGAGAAAATGTCAGTCTTTGTGGAAATTACTGTTGGCATTATCAAATTTTCCCAATATCAGCCTGCCACTCACTGCTTTTTATATACTTATATGATATGCTTTCCAAAGACCTGAAGGCAAAGCTCACAGTGGGGTTAGAATCATTGATTAAAACCACAGCAAGTCCACCATCCTTTTTAGATAATGCATTTACTGTAAGATATTAAGATCTTGGGAAGCCATCAGTTCCAATGGTTGTAGTCTATTATAGATTGGTAGGCAGTTCACTACTAGGCAGGCTCTGTATACAACTGTCATGTGTATCATAAATGAGGACGGCTAACATAAACCAGCAAAGCAAATGCAGTCACGATACATGATAATAAAAATGATGATACTATAATTATTATATATGTGCCTTTTGTATTTCCTACCCAAGATATTCAAATGACATTAATAGTTTAAGTGAAAAAAAAGATGATAAGCAGAAGTATCAGCTTAGAAGTACATAGGAGGAGGGGGGAAAGCACTGATTGCAATAATTAAAGCTAAAAAAAAAAAGAAAAAAAAAGAAGAAAGACTAGACAAAATTGTCAAGAAGAGGATAATGTCTATAATATGACATATAAGCTTACAAATAATATAAAATAAATGTTCTGTCTGTAGTCAATTATGGTAATTTTGCCTTTTTCAAAATAAATTGTAGGATATACAGAAAGAGTTAGCAGAATAGAGTGAAATGGCATGACAGTGGGTGAAAAAATAAACAAAGACAACATTAACAAATGCAACAATAGATCTAACCATAAAAAACAATTCACATACTGAGCAGGAAATTTGCAAAAGAGCAATGATGCAAAAAAAAAATAACAATCAATGCACAGATCTAACAAGCTCGTAAAACAACAATTTCCTTATCATCATACTGTGCAACTCTATTCTACTTTCTAGAAAAAATACCATGAATTGATGGCATAACTTTCAATCAATACCTTGAGAGGAAGGACATTTCCAGGTGTATGATACACTAAAATATTAGGTATATCATATTCTTACATCTTTATTTCCTAAATTGCAACCTTCGGTGCACTTTACACTGTATTCTGTGTATTTGCCTATTCCTTGAATTTCAAATCCTAGAGAAGTACACAACCTTTGCTGCAATTAATCATTTTTTCTAGAGTGGCCATATTTTAACCTGTACTATATGACAAATTTCTTACCCCAGGATATAAAGTGTCAATTCAGCATGAATGCTGAGATAAAGAAATGGATCCTAATGTGTCAATTATGGTTGAGGTAATTATAAGCATACAAGTGAAACGTATCCAGCTTTCATGCAAAAGACCTGGATCAAACAATTTTCCATTAACAGAAGCATCATCATCAGACTTTACGAAAGGCGTCGGACCGTCGGACATGCCTGGCAAATTTCGTCTCGGTCCGATAAAAAATCCTGTATCGTCGGACCTTATGTCCGGCGAGTTTTCAAAGTGACTGGGAATGTGTAAATACAAGGAATACGTTGTTGTTTCTTTTCTGGACGATATATTTTACTTCATTCGAAAAGAGAGACGGGGTGAAAATCTCGGGGAGTTCCCAGCTAATTAATACATAATTTATAAACCTCAGTTTCACTCAGAAATACTATTTTGTGACTGGTTGAGGTGGGGGGATTCCTGGATGATGCAATGTACAGTCTCGTTTTCGTTTCGTAATACCCCTACTCGACAAAATGGCCGCAACACATGTGCTCGTACTATTTGCGTTTTCACAGACTTGATCCTCTGTTTCTTCTTTATCAGTCGTACACAGTACTCATGGATAAACCTTTTGTTTAGAAAATGACGTTGTTGAACTTTAAACACTTCGTTGGTGCAAAGCGTGGCTAAAATTAAAACGAAGTGAGGAAGAGAAACGGAAGTTTACTAAAATTTGAAAGAAGGTAGGCCCTGGCGGACTTGTAATCTGTAGGAGAGGAAAATAGTGTGTGCCGAGTTATCATTTTGATCAATAGTAACATAAATGTTACAGCTTTATTACGGGTTCTTAAATTATGGAACTTATGTACGTATTTGCATGTACCGTTCACCACGAGTTGGAGAAAGTGCACATGAACTTGACGAAAGCTCACAGTTTGAGTTTCTTTTTATAAAAAAAAAGAAATAAAATGAAGAAGGAACTTAGACTCGGGCTAGACAGTCCCTGTCAAAGCTTCAATTGGATGAAAGAGACTGCCTTACTGTGCTGTTTCAAAATGCATATGTTATTGCCAAAAACAACGGATGAAATGGTTATCTGATTAACAGACGTTTTTATGGACATACGTTTGATATTACTAGCTACACGTTCTTCATACTTGTATTGGTCTTAGTCCTTGTGTCATTCCACAATGTCTTTTTCATTAAATAAAAAACAACTTGTTATGCAAGTAATTTTTTGTCTATTTTTTGTTTGTTTGTTTTTCTTTCTTTTTTTACTTTTTTACAAATATATATCAAAAATTTAATATTTGATTTAATGTCAGTGATTTAAAACATTAGAAAATACACATGAAAACATGAATAATGGTTCGTATTTCTATTATTTTACTTCGGTCTGACAGATTTTGTTTCGGACTGACAGACTTTTCAAGCTTGTCAGACCGAATGTCTGACAGATTTTTTAGCCTTTCGTAAAGTCTGCATCATCATCATTATTTTTATCATTATCACTCATCATAATTACTATTATTATCATTATTCTTATTATTATCATCATTATCATTTTATTGCTTTAAGCTAGATTTTCTTTCCAAATGCAACTTATATTCATGGTTACTGGTCAAACAACTTAATCACGTACACGTATTTAAATTAACTCAACTGATTTTGTGCTGCAAAGAATGTTCATAAAAAATCAAGGTTTTCATCAAAAAAAAAAAAAAGGAATTTATGTAATAGCTTAAGATTGCCCATTGATACTGAATATCAATAGACATATAATTATATAATTGTTTCATATAAAATATTTTATACCCGATATCATAATGTCTGTTGTCAACATCTTCCACATGGAGATATGCAACTTGAAGACAGAACTCATGAAAAAATCCATTCAAAATGAAGTTCATGGTATATCTGATTTCAAAATAGGTCAATGATCTTTGATATCATCTGGTTGACAATATGTCTCAAACCCAAGGCATCAGAAAACAGCAACTACCATCAAGAGGATCCAATATATAATCAATTAATAAAAATTGTTTGGTTGAAATACAGCTTCTTAACATATTTATTTCAATGGGTCAGTAGAAGAGGCAATATATTCACTTGATCAATAATGACAACACCAAATATCAGTGGCACTTCAGTAAATACCAATGAACACCCGAGAATCAATAGTGAAAATCTTATTTCTGCAATGATTTGATGGCAATTTTAGCCAGCAAACTTTACAGATTTAGGTCAATTCAAACAGATAATTATGGTTTCCAAATGTCACAATGTGAGATAGGCAAGTGTGTCCCTTGAAAAAAAAAACATTAGCATTCTTACATGCAATATTCCCCTATTTAAAACTGAAGTCTTGGGGTACAATTTGATAAAATTCACAGCCTAAATCACCATCAACACTGTAAACTTCCCAAAATGTTTTTAAAGAGAGAACTGACACATTTGTAAGCCAGAACAATTATCCAAATCTATCAAACAGCCCAGTCATGTACACATGTTGCACACTGAAAGAATCGTTTAAAAAAACTCTTAAATTTACTTCAGCAATTCATGAACAGAGATAGTTGATCATTCCTAGTCCCCAAACGTTAACAGACTGATAATCATGCTTACATGAATTGAATAAAAGACACCTCACTTAGTAAACAAAGCACATTAAAAGACCCTAGAGGACTATAGAATTCTTCAAGAGTCTGTATCAATTAACCAAACTACCTATGAACTGATGTTCCCTACTTAAGAGGGTCTCCTCATTTAGTCTACACCAAATATCAAACATCGTGGTTTTAGTAAAAAAATGTAAAAGAGATTGCATGCCACATGTACTTTAGATTTAGTTGAAAATGACAAATATACTGAAAAAATCCAAAACAACATATTAATAATAAGAATAGTACTAAGGAATCAGTCAGCTGAGAGTTCCCATATAATATATTTTGATTTCACTAAAAACAGTGAATACCACTAGTATAACTACACCAAATGACATTATATTGTTTTTTATCATTCACTAGGCTGATAAAAAAAAATGGAAAACTGTCATGATAAGGAAAGCAAAAGTTCCCCATATAAATATGCTTCAAGGGTGTCAATAACTACATTTATTTAACAAGTTAATGTGAACAATATCAAACAACTGATGGATCAAACCATCAGTCCATGAATCAATCAATAAAATTTTCTTGACACTCAGAATCTGTTAAGCTGCAACAAGCTTGCAAACACTGGTTATTAAAAGAAGTGTGATTTTGGTTCTTGTAGATGTGTATATCTCTTTCACCTATCACAAGACTCAGCTACCACATTTTAAAGTAGGCCTGTTAAAGTCCCTTAACAACAAAAAGGCACAAGCAATGATAGGCAGAAACATGGTACAAGTGCTTCATAGCAATCAATCAATGGAACCTAAGTTAGCAAAATGAGTTTTTCATACACACAAAAAATAAAGAAAATATGTAGTAAGGCCTTTATAGAAGTTAATTTCAAGTATCGGTCTGTTTAGAATTACAATCACAAGAGTTCTTTGTAAGAAAGCACTTACACTTCTGGCAAGTTGTTGTACTCTTTTCCATCCCAAAAATGCTTGAATCCACACTGACATCTACTGGAGGCCCCCGCCTGGGTTGTGGTACGGTCACCATTCTGATACGCCACTGAGCCATCACCATTTACTGTGCGAAGTGTAGTCCTGAACAACACAAACTGATCATATCTGCTTACAGGTCATACTGTACAGCTGATCTTAACTTATATAGATATTATATCCTTTATTGTTCTCTATTGCACTGCGTTGGACTGCACTATTCTATTCTATTCTATTTTAACTGATACCATAACTACCCTATGTAACAAGTTCCTTTCCTTTTTTTTTAAATCATAAACAAAAAAAAAAATTTTTTAATAACGAAGCACAACGCAGTTAGTTCCATATAATGATAATAATAACAAAGTTTGTTTCTACAACTCCTTACCCCCTACACCAGCCACATTGAGACAAGCCACTTTGTTCCATATCAGGTACTAGGATATCTTTCTCCCCATCATAGACACACATCAAACCTGAAGCAAGATAAACAAAATGTACGTATCTTTATTTCTCATAAATATATAATATTTGTCAAGTCATAAGAATTCAGCTTTGAAATGCAGGATGTCATAAATAAAAGATAATATATTTAGTGAAATACAATACACAGACAGATAGTGTTCTATTAACCGGAAAAAGGTTTTTGTTTTTGTTTTCACAGTTACATTAGCCAGATATGTGAATATCTACAATCTGTTTGCATGAGATTAATTTCAGTCATCCTGAATTGATGTTTGTGGAAAAAAAGTAGCATGACTCAGGCAATTACTGTCTTTCTCTTCATCATTTGTCAATTCATAATTCAGGTGAAAAGCACCATAAGAATTTCAAATGAGCATGTTCTGGTTGTTTAAAAAACTGTCACATTTCAGCATGCAATGGCTTTAAGAATGAATCCATTTTCAAGCACCTAGAGACAAACACGTTATATGTCACAGAGAGGAAAATTAAAAGGTTAAAACGTCTCTCTGGTCTATTGTTTAATCTAAAATGTGTCACAGACTGACTATAATTTACAAAATTATTTAAGACAAACTAAAATACATTTTTAACCAAAGCAAGTTTTATGAAATGTCTGATTACAAATAAGAAGCACTGAAAATTTTTTTAAAAATCAATATACAGTCAAAATTATTCATTCACAAATGTTTTTTTCACTCAACCCTAAGTCTAGAGAATGAATTCCCAGTACTATGAATTTTTCATACCTTTCATAGGAAAGCTGTACTTTTTCCCTGGCACCAGGGACCCAGGTGCTGAAGCTGCCACCTCATACAGACTGCCTCCCTTTACAAACCACTCAGAAAGCAGGCGGAATTCACAAATGGCGTCACATGTCAAACAACGAAAGAGTCTCTTCTCTGCCACTGCTTTCTGGGTATTTTCAATAACAACCTCAGGGTGAATCCCAACAATTCCTAGAAATTCATCAAGGAAAAAGCATTGTCAATACATATTCAAATTACAGATATGTATAGAATACCTATTAGACATTTATGCTTTAAAGAAGTCCACAGCTTCAACCTAATGGGCTGATATAATTCACTGAAACTACATATGTCTGTCTAAGACCGCATTCACAACGAATTGAGCCAGGCTTTACAAATCCTGGGGACTAAATATGGCAGACGTACATGAAAGAAAAACCGCCCAATCTTTTAATAGTCTCCGCCTCTCACACGCCTCCCCATGTGTAGTCCCAATGGAGCCGAGATTTAATTACTGTACCCCCGCAGGGAGGCGTGTGAGAGGCGGAGAGATTATTAAAAGATTAGGCGTTTTTTCTTTCATGTACGTCCGCCATATTTAGTTCCCAGGATTTGTAAAGCCTGGCTCAATCGTTGTGAATGCGGTCTAATGCAAACATTCTCATATGAAAAAGACATTCAGATAAAATTCCAGCCAATGTTGACTTTTATCTGTTTGTTAGAATTTCTTTAGCTAAATGCTCTCTTCAACAAAGTTAGACCCTAGTTATATTATGATGACCACATAACATATCAACATAATACAATTCATTTTGTAACCACAAATAAATCATGTGGTCCTGCACATGTGGCTACATTACCTGTTGCCTTGTAACAATATTGGTGCATGTCAGTTACCAATCCTGGGTGTACTTCATACTTGTTTATGAAAACCGCATCCATGGCAGATACCAGACGGTGAATGTACCTGTCCTGGAACAAGTACAGAAAAATAAAATTGAATTTCCTCATAAATTTTGTTTATCAATTTCTGTCACCAATTGTAACTGAATCTATCCCAAATTTATTATTCACTTGCTTATTATGTGTTCAATCTTCCTAATGCACATTAAAAAGCTACTGACCAAATTTTTATTAATTAACACAGATACCCCCCCCCCCCAAAAAAAAAAATAAATAAATAAATGAAAATAAAAAAATTAGGAGCAACCATTCCTAACCACTCACAGGCAGACACTTCTCCCCACCCAGGACACATTTGTCCTCACTGTCAAACTGGATATAGGTATCTAACAGCTGGTTAGGCATTCCCCAGACTTTTGGGATAATCCACCTTGCTAGCCGAGGCAGGGGTTTACCTGAGAGGAAGTAGAGAGATAGGGCAATTAGATGTCAATATAAGAGAATACATTAATTATTCAAAGTCATGTCTTAATTTAAAGAATAATAATCATCCACTTACATATAAATAATTGTTATTGATATTATTATTCTATCTACTACTAAAGTTTGAACTTAAAGCAGATGAAATTATGTTTACATAACTGTTATCGGTTCAAGTGATACACTTTAATTTGCCAGACACATGAACATGTTACAGAATTGAAATTAATCCTTGACAAAAAAGCTTAAAGGACAACTCAGTGGGTTAGATTAATGTATAGAAGCAGGTTCTATGTAAAACTTTGATCAGATTTGTGTTTTGGGAGATTGTTTATTATTATATGAATAAGTCTGGGTCACAAAAGTCCTGTTAAGACAACTAGAATAAAGAATTAGAAAACGAAAACTATTTATCATGATTTCGGAGCACAGCCAGAAGTACTTCCGGCTCAAGGTCACGACCTCGATTTTCCCACGCTTACGACCAATCACAGCAGGCTTCAGTCAGAATGAGATAGACGTCACGACTACACAGCGAAACTTGTCAGACATAGTGCCGCCTGTCCATCTTTTCGGTACATGTACCGATCAAAAACAGAAAACGTAAAGCCCAAAACGCTCTTATACACGTAACCAACTTTGTATGAGCACAAATATTGTCATTTATTGTGAACAGGATAATATGATAATCAGACACACTTGAGACCTGTGAAGCGCATACTCACGTGTCGAGGAGTAGTTTCGCCATNTTTAACTTTGTCTTTAACAGAAAGATGCTAGTGGAAAGAGGTTATCAATCTAATCAGGTCTAGATTACCCAACAAAACTGCTAATGTTAAGTATAAAATATCCTCTTATCAATGCCACTGATACTACACTCTACTTCAAATTCCATTGGAATTAGTAGGCCTATTTGATTAACAAGCCATGGAAAATTTCAAAGTTTCAAAGTTTTACCTTTTATCCCAACCAATGGAATGTAATGATTTCTTCCTGAACTGCTCCAGGCTAAACACAGGGGTTTATTCAATTGGCCATCTTTTCCTCTACATTTCTCTGGGGGGTTAAAGGCAGGAAGAAACACCCCTGAAAAATAAAACAATACAAATTTTTAAAGGACAATATACAAGTGTAATTTTGTATTGAGAAATAGATTAGTGAATTTGACTACATTTTACAGTTTAGAATGTTATCCGATTTTAATGTCCTTTTCAGAAACACTTAATATCTTGACATTCATTGAGTAAGCAGTGTTATCAGTTATGATTCCAGGTCATTGTAGCATACATATGAAGCTATGTACTTATACTTAAACATATACCTTGCCATTGTCTACAATGTAATCAATATGTACAAGGCAAAACAGTGACCTTTTTTCTTATTTTCAGAAAGATCATGGCTTTGATAGCATGAAAAGACTTGGCAACATCTTTGTTCAACAGAATTAGTATGTAGCTTCAAAAGTAAAGCTAATGCAGGAATACTTTTGCATACTTGTACCGATGCCTCCACTGGACTATTGAGTACCAGTTTAGTAATCACATATCTGATCACTTGTAATATTGCTTAGACTGCATACATTCATCTGCATTCAAATGATGCACACTATACCTGAATAGTCCCCAGAGCTCTGCATTCCAGTCATGGAATCTAGAAGTATAATAGGTCTCTTAAGAACATTTGCCAGGCCAAAGATGTGGATATTCCTCAATCCATGTGCCTCCCCATCAGGGGGTAGGAAATCCGGATCACACTCTTCAATAATCAAGTTCCATTCTGACTGGTCAATGAAGTCTTGAAACAGAGCCTTGTAATTATCAAGCTTTGCAGTAAAATGTGTCTTGAGATTTTGGCGCAGGGCATGCCAAAAGAGTTCCCGGCCAATCAGTGCTCTGGATACAGCATGCACTAGGCAGTGTCCATCTCCATCAGCATGGACAGGTAGAAGGTTTTCGACATCATTGTTCATCTTGCGTATCATTTCCAGAGTGTCAGCCAGGTACTTGGTGCTGCCAGTCCTATCTCTTCCATAGCCATATACTTCAATGTGCTCCTGCTCTATCAGGAAAGCTCTATCTCCGAGAATGCTACAGTCAAACACTTCTTTTTGACCCATATCTTTTAATAGCCTGGCTTCCCCAGTGGCCTTGTCCATGCCGTATGTGGTCAACAAAGGCGAGACAAGCTTACAGTGATAATTGGACAGCCCTAACACCTTCACTGAGTCAGTACCCTTCTTTGGGGTGGTATTCTCTACCAGGACATTTTTCAGCATGTTATGTAAGGCAACCTCTGGGTCAGTGACAACCTCGGGATTCTTGATGGTGTTCCTTTCATGCCTCTGTCCACAGCCTGTGCACTCTATGCTGGTCTCATAGGCAGGAAAGAACAGCCTTGTCTGACATCCTTCATCTGGACAGTAACCAGAGAGGACCCGGTAGGGTTCTTTGTTACCTTTTGCTGCCATCCTTTAAAAGACAACAGATCTAAATAGTTTTCAACTTGATTTTGAAAAATGAAACAGACTAACACTTCGGAGTAAAATCGTCTTATATGACACTAGTATAAGTAAAATTAGTCTTGCTATGCTACACCTCAGCAGGCAGCGAGTAATTTATCTATAAAGTAAATTGCACAGTCATTCAGAGTAGCTGTCCTATTCATTCCAGAAAAGTTTCAAATATTTTGAGATAATTTTTTTCTGGGAATTTTCGACAATCACAGGGCAATTTCCTGTTCTCATGGTCGATATTCTAATTCAAACATGAACTTCATAACAATTATTATTCCATCGCTTGCTGTGTGTATAACACATAATGAAGTGCAATTATATTTATTTAGTATACTTACAGGTTTTGTTAATATAGGCAAAAAAATCCTAAAGTACACTTTCGCTCCGCAGTTTTGTTTCCATTTTGCCTTCCCAGCATGCTAGTCTTCGCGCAAGCGCAATCATCAAAGTCGAGCGATGGCGACTTCCGAACACAAGCCGATAAGAGGAATTCTAAAGAATTCCACGAGTTTTGACAAAACTGAACACAGTGGGTGAGTTCAAAATGTTTGTACGCGACATTTGTAATAATTGTTGTATCTTGCAAACCATTATTTTGTGCGACATGGCACAGAGCTTAGTAAAAACGCACTTCAAATTGCGCCCACTTGGTTCTGTTTAGTGACAAGATTGAACATAGAAGTGGGCCACTAAATTGGTCACTAAATACTTGACCTTGAAACCACTTAGTCTTTTAAAGCAGCCTGGGTTGATTTTCTACTTACTTACACTTTGGAAGGTTCTTGATTTTGGATGCAGGGTGTTCTTCGTCCGATTTTCGGCAAAGAAACCATAGTCTAGATGGTAAAGTTTATGATAACTTTGCAGTGTTACCGAAGACGAAGTTGCAGACGACGATAACTTCAAAGTTTGGTTTTTCAGTCTACCAAATACGTTTTCTGTTGTTTTGCATACTACGTTTATAGTCTTTTAGAGAGGGCGAGGGCCTTTCAAGTCTGTTATTGCATATGTACTGTTAGGGTAGCAAAAGCATTACTAGTAACTGCATTAGTCTAGGATTATTGGCAGTCTGTGCAAGTAATCACATTGATCTGTCAGCTGTTTCTGTATATGTTGTGGTTTCTGTTACAGTGTATAAACAAAGTTGCTTCTGCTACTTTGCTCACCTGTCACTTTGATTTGTAGGTTGAATTTAATAAATGCCATTAAAAGATAATAAAAAACAATATATTTTTTTAATGATAAGGTAGAAAAAGCATCAAGATCACTCAAGCATTCTTTAACCCACCTAAAAAAAGTGGCCACATATTACATATACAAGTGATTATAGTTTGACAGCTTGTGATTCACACATGAAGCCAGCACTTTATTCCAGGCATTAGAGATTCACAACAGTACCATAACATTAAGAATATTAGCCAGTAAGTCAATTCCTTCTTGATAATCTAGGCTAGCTCTACATCTGTAGATCCTTACAATATTTTTATCACAATTAGATTTCTCTGCAAAATGAGATCACATTGATGTTTTACGTGGATATATGACTTGCCATACCGATGGACCACGTAACCCACTTACTTGTACATCAATCCAATAATATTGGTTTGGTGACTAGCTTTCTGTTTTCCAAGCTGTCATTAGATACATGTAGTCCATAGGTTATATATTGGTGATTTCCTCAGTTCATTTAGAAATACCAAATTTAATTTCATTTGGGTTTTATGTATAATTTTAATCTAGCGCAGTATTATATAACAGTTTTTTTATATATAGTTTCTGACCCAAAGCTAGGGATCTAGGTACGCAAAGGTTTCAATGTAAAAGGTCCACATTTTTTAGAAAAAGAACCCCCCTTTTGAAATTGCTGGCTACGTACTGGAGTTTTTTAATGCGTCAGTCAGTCCATATGTAGGCAATTGCCAAACTTGGCTGCTTACTATTTCCTGAGACCAACCTGATCATTGAAAAATGTTGAAATTAAACTGTTATAGTGGATTGATTCTCTATGACATTTTATCACAGACAGATTTTAAATTTTACAAAATGTAAAATATAAGGTGATAATGTATGTACAAACATAACATGTCAGTGGGTACAATAGAAAGTAACACATGTTGTATCTGTCTGCGGTGAGTATAACTCTTACGTCATTGGTTAAGATGTATTCTATCAGTGAAATCAACCATCCGTTTTTCATTGCACATTACATGGGTCATTTGTTATACACCTGTCTTTCTCTACCTGATATAATTGATTTCTTTTTTCATTACCGCAATGTGATAGGGGTTTTATTGGCTAGTATTGGTTTTGTTTAAAAGTGTTGGTCTTTTGTTCCCATTCTGTCTGGGTCAGCGAGTAACTTCAGCTCCTTCTCCCCAAATTCTTTATGCTTACACTCTCTACCAGAAGTCTTTATAAGCTTTAGAGGAGAGATTTCACTTCAAAGCAAATAGAACATTTTGGTTAGTATATTGCGTGTCACCATGGGGTTACCAGCCTCTTTGAAGCCAGTTTGCCTTCACTCTCTATTAAAAATAAATGTTATTTACTTTTTTATGGTGGGGTCATTGTTGTTGAATATATGCGATAATTTTGCTCCCCACGCTTTGTTTACCTCGCTGCATGCATATTTGAGAAATAGGCTTGGGATTATTATTAATCTGAGTTTTGTATTCAATTCATTTTGAAACCCAGCGTGAGAATTTCCTTTTTCTTGGTCTTCCTAAAGGTTACCTTGGGATTTACCTGTTATACTCCCTGTGTAAATAAAATAAAGAAAAACTGAAAGACTAGACCTTTTTTTATCACTTTGCTCATTGTTGACAAATAAGGATATGATGTTATGCACATAATATAAGTTAGAAAAGGCCTTTTATTCTTTTTTATAAAAAGATGAATGGATTTTTTCCAGCTTATCAGAAAATCTATCCCAAATGCATGATTTGTTGAATCCAAGATAATATCGAAAGGTTAAGACTAACATTGTGTCGGTGAAATCAGAATTTAACATAGATATTTGTTCGTGGTTCAGACATCATTCAGGACGGTATTGATTTTGTGCTTTTCTTTATGGTGGTGACTTCTGAAATGCTATCAATATTTGTATGGAGTATTTGACTCTATGTTTACTGCTGCAGTCTCTGAAACCCACCCTTAAGTTTAGTAAGACCCTTTCGTTAGGAAAAAAGAGTTTATACTTAATCAAAATAATCAATTATACGGCCTTTCATATTATTGGAAGTGTGACTTTACTCTCTTTAAGGCAGCCTTCATTGTTAAGTGAAAGACTTGTTATGCTTATATAACTAGTCCATTTGGAAATTTGAATTGTTCAGATTTCACTGTTACAGTTATTGTGATCGACTTTGCACTCTATAATTCACTGCTTAGTGCCTAATGCACTGCCTGCAATTACATTGGAGAGTTTCAATTCTACATTTGATTTTTATGATTATATTTATTTGACTTCACTGATGGAGAAAAGGTTTTAATGGTCTCAAGCAAATATGTTTTCTGTTCTCTGTTTTTATGCAAAGCAGGATGTAACACAAAGTCATTTGTGTAAATTGACCAAGGAACTCTGTGAATTGATGTAAATAAGATTAAAAAGTCTTTGGAAACTAGATATGTTTCCAGTAATGATGTTTCTTAATGACTATCTTTTATCAGGCTGGTACTGGACCTGTATAAGTTTTTTTTTTCACATAAGGGTAGTTTCCTAGGTTAAGTGACATACACCTCATGAGTTTTTATGGGTAACTGAGATGATGTGTATGCCTAGTCTGATATTTGGAATATACATGATTATAAACTCAGCTAGATAACTAAAAGCAATTTCATTGAACCATCAATTGAAAGTGGATCATTTCTATGATGAAATGTTAGCTTTCCCAGAACACTAAATGTAGATTGTTAATGGAAGTGATGTTTGTAGAGCTGATTGCTGAGCACAATCCAGTTGACTTACAATGTTTTTTTTTCTTTTTTTTTTTTTGTTATCCTCTGCAAACCAATCAAACATGCAGATTGGCTTTTCCTTTCTCTGCATGCATTTTGTTTCAAATTAAAATAAAAAGAAATGTTTGCGATATATTTCCATAATTTAAATAGATTGTAGATATGCCATGAAAATCTGCAAATTTACAAACATTTGGCAACAACTAAAGAAAATAATGAAAAAGACACATAAATGATATATAACAGCTGTTGAGCACTGTTTCAGTTTGGTACTTGTGAATCCTTTGTCTTTGCGCTCAGGGAGCGAGGTAAAATATAAGGTAAAGTGTAAGATGGCTAAAGATTTTCATTAGTTTTATTTTGATTAGATGCATAGTTTTGTTCTTCATTATTGACAATTTTGCCCCAACTGTTTGTAAGTTGGCTTGTAACCCACATGGTTTATTATGACTGCCACATGTCAGCTGTGTTCAAGTTTTCTTATGATTGGGCAAAACTGTCAACACAAGAAGACAGTTTGGTGTCTGTCTTATATACTTTACTTTTATCAAAGTGCAATCTTACAAATGTTCCATGCCTTGAAATATGAGAGCAATTACCCATGCTCCTTAGCCCTAGCGAAACAATTCTAATAATTGCCATTCCCAGTGTTAGCCATCAGCTTCTAGCAGAATAACTGAGTCAGAAGGATCAAAGCTATAAACTTCATTAATTATATCAGAATAATTCAGTTAGATAAATTTAATTGTTTATCAATTTCTTTCAATGTAAAGGTTAATTGAAGTTGTTGAATATTTATAGCATATTGAGTTTGTGATAGATAAATGGAAAGTTCACTAGAATTGCTGTGCACGTGTGTCAATCCTGAAGTTTTATTGACTTCTACTTGTCTCCAGCTGTTAGAAATATTTTTCTTTTAACCTGATAATATTAGGTTTTTAGTAAAATAAAAAATATCAGAAATTGGATTTCTTTTTGTCTAATACACCAGGCTTCATTTTTTAAAATATCCAGTTTCATGATTTATTGCACCACTACCATGAAGCTTTGAACTTCTTACTTCAGTGTTTGTGTAACACATCCTGCCGCGTCTCATATTTAATGTTTTGAAAACTTTGTTACATTATTCAAATTTCTCTTGATTTCAGAAAAAAAGAAATGACATGGGATGAAATGAATATAGTGGCCACCCATCATCCTGCTGATAAAGACTATGGACACATGAAAATTACTGATCCTCCAACGCCTTATAGCAAATATGAAGAACCAGAGGATGACGAGCTATTAGAACACCAAGACAGTGTGGATCCTATAAGTGAGGATGAAACGGATGCATTAGATGCAAATAAATTAGCAAAAAGGTGAGTGAACTCTCTATGACCATAACTTGAGAATGCATCTATTCCATTTACCTTCCAAGATGTATGCAGCTTTACATATTAAATAATGCACTGCTCATGAGCCTGATACATAATAGCCACTGCGTATATCAAGCTAGAAGGTACTTGTAGCAGCTAGTGCATTATTTGTCAAACATACAAAGAGAAATCTTATTTTTTCCACCCAAACCCATTAATTATGAATGGAATACTTTCAGTGATATCAGCCCCACGTGTAAGTGTGAAATAATACTATGTCACCCAAGATATATATATATATATGCCAGAACACCTTAAGCTTCATGATCACAAAGTGTAGCAGTGTATTATTTTTCATACGTACCAAGAAAAAGGACTCACATTTCACTGAGAAAAAAGCCCCTGAAACAGAATAAAGCGTATATATCGCCATGGTCACATAACATCACTACGTATGTATAAATAGCAAACACAAGTGGAAAGGGAGCTTTCAGACAGATTATCAATTGATATTCTATGTTTTGTGAAACACTTGTCTCCAAAACAAAGATGAAGGTTGCACTCAACAGAGCATAGTTTTTTTTCACTCAGAATTTTTTACTAGTAGTATTTTCCATTGATCTCAACATATGCAGTATACAAAGACCTTGACACTTGGCCAAAAGGATGGAAGTATCATTACCACCATCTGCAGAAAGAAAAATGTATATATCTAGAAATGTGAAATATGAATGTCAGGTACCTTCAAAGACAGGAAGCTAAATATCTAGCAATTTTGGGATAGATAACTGCTGTAATTCTTATGTAGCTTGTTTGCAAAATAAACTTTGATCTATAAAAGGAAATAATGTCTTAAGTACTTTCTTTAGGCTTTTGGCTAAAGAGGACAATGAATTTTGTACAGACCAAACATAACTTAAAAATCAATCCAAGTGCTTTTGGGCAGTGTTTTAAATAATTGGAAAAGGTCACGTTGTCATAAGGTTTTTAAGTATTGAGGAAGCAATCTAAATTCATTGACAGTCATGTTATATATAACATACATACTAGTACCCCAGGCTTAATACCCATGATAAATAATAGGGATTGAGGGGGACAACGGATGATTATTTTAATCGGTTTCCAATCAAAGTTAGTCTTTTGTGAGAACAGACAGAGATGCTGAGGCATCAACTTCAGGGGCGGATTTAGGCCGTCTTCTGGGTCTTCCGGAAGACGGTCAGATTTTCAAGTTTACAATGAAAGGTATCTAATTTTTTCTGTTGGAAGACGGTCAAAGAATGAAGGATGGATCAACAAATATAATATGGAAGACTGTCAGAAAATATCTCTGGATCCGCCCCTGAACTTATAGAACAAACTTGTGTACCTAATCAGGACCAACAGATTGTACATATGTTCCTACATGCAGATATTAGACGTCCAATAACAAGTACTGTAAATCCGATATTGGACACAAGCCATTGGAATCAGTGTGTCTGAAATAACATGCTTGTCATAATTCTGTGACCTCGTTTGACCCGTAAACAAGTGTATGTACAGGTATTTGGGACAAGTTGCTGTGTGCAGTGTTTTGATTTACCTGTAAGTCTCTACCTATAGATAGTACCAAGGATAGTCTTCCGGAAAGATAAACAATCAGGCTGAGTTTTGGAACATTTCACTCAAGTGTGAAGAATCCTTTTTATGGATCATTTTTAATTTTGAGCAAATTCTCTCTCTGTTTAATGTATATACTAGTAGTTGAATCAGTGAACTTGGGAGTTTTTCATGATTTATTTGCATGGGGTAAGGATAAAGGCAGGAAAGGTTGTTGAATGCTTTGAAATTGAATCATTTAATCTGCAAAAGACATCTTGTAAAATTATAGGAAGGTCATTGAGATCATGAGCCACAGTTGATATGAAACTCTTTTTAGGGGGTAGTTATAAGGTAAAGGAATCTAAAAAGGAGGGTCTTTTTCATTCATGTTGCACAGCTTGTAAGTAACACCAGCCATTTCCATTTTTATTTTGTGTTTATCCTTTCAAACTGAATCATTGCTCTACAATACTGAAGTGAGAGGTAATGATATCAAAGATAGAATTGATATGTAAAGAAGTCAACCGTTGCAGCACACCAGGGGAGTGAGGGGGGGGGGGCAAAAACAACATTCCTGATGTCTACACTATCATCTTCTGCTCATATTATAAAGGCTAGTGCATGCAGTCATATCAGATGAGTTTTGGAACACTGTTGAATGACTAGTTTCATGAAGCACAGTGACAGTATATTGATACAATATCCTAGAAAATTGCTTCATAAAGGTTATCTTCAGTGTGTGCAATGTACTTGGTACTAGGGTGATTTCGTGCATGTCGCTTTTGATAAGTGGCAGTTTTTATGACAGCTTACATCTCATTTTGTTGACTGAAGGCATTATTTATAGTTTTAGGATATGGATTGATGTGTACTACATATGGTAATGAATCTGTTTTCAGTGGGAAAAATTATCAATTTTTCAGTTGCATTTTGTCATTTACAAGTACATACATTTCTGTGTAGCATTTGAGGTGCTATTTTCTGTGTATAAGGTAGCCTGCTTTTTTTTCTACCACTCAGGGGAAATGTTCTAATTTTAAGAATTTACGAAATTAAGAAATGCAGATCCTGTGAAATTCACAACTCTTCTCATTGAAAAGATAGAGTCACTACCCTAGATTTTAACCATCAAGATGAAAAGAGAATCAATACTAGTCTAGATATTGTTCATTTCTTTCAAAGTGGTAATTGCCACAGCAAAGCATACTTTCTCTGTATTATAATGTAAAACTATTCTAACCAAGCCACAAATATTTTGGATGTTTTTAGGTTTCATGTAACCTTATTCAAAACCCAGTGCTTCAGCATCTGGCACTTACACTTGATTGTTATTGCTGCAACAATTTTATCTTTAAGTTGCTTTCATCATGGAATAGTTTATCTCTTGCATTTTGTCCATCATTGGTACCAGTACCATTATAAGGTCTGATAAACAATTCACCAATATATTGGACCTGAATTAAATGATGGATGAACTCTAAAGAATAAAAAGTAGACTAGATAACAAAGGGCAGAATACATTAATATTTAATGTAGTTTGCTGTTAGTGGTAGTTTTTGTAGCAGCGTGCCATTTTAGCTTTGGTTACTTCAATTCTGAGTATTGATTGTTTCCAGTTCTTTGCACAGTGCAGGAAGAGGTTAAATAGACAGTCTAATGGAAATGAGTGATGGTAACTGTTGTTTGAATAGTTTTGGCACTGACTTGGATTGGATGCTCATCTGAAATCAAGTTCAAGGAAAATCATAAAATATATGCAATGCCATGTAGATAACACTTTTATTTATTTGTATTTTGTAAAAACTTTTGTTATAGAATTGAGTGTAGACATTTGTGTGGTTACTTTTCAGTGACTTGATACTTGATGTTGAAAAGGGTTCTGTAATGTTTTTAACTTTTTCAAAAATTGTTTGAATGTCCTGGATAAAAGGTCCAATATTTTATAGTATGCACAAAGGGAAATGATTTTAACTTTGAAGAGGTCCCCTTAATAAAATGTACAGTTGTCAACTGATTTGTAACACTTCAACAGGAGTGTGTTTGTTACTTGAATGTTTGAGAAAAAAACTAGTATGTGATTGTTTCCTTTGTACCTTTACAAATTGTTATTTAAAATGCTTTTACATAGTGAAAGATCTATCAGCATTAGAGCTGTGTTCATTAGGGATCAATCATTGTAGGTCTGTTTGCTTTGGGTATTGAAAAACACAAAGACCAACGCATTTCTTGCAAATTTGATCTGTCTGTCTAGAATGGCAATCCTCCTATGGAAAAAAAATCAGCTTTTGTACCACATAATTAGACTGAAGACTATTCTTTTTTGAAATTGTGTGAAAGGTCAATTGGAAAACAGGGGAGTGGGACGAAAAGTGATCCCGCCAATGACGCCTGATAACAATGGTGCTAATTGGGAGACTAATCAATGAACTGAATACTGCATGAATGTGCATCACTTGAGTGTTTACTTAAGGAACAATAATGTTAATGACTTTTGACTGTTGCATTATTACAAATTGTCTGGGGGGGTGTTCAATAAATGATGTACATCAAGACATTGAAGTGTTGACTGTGTTTTGTGTGTGTATGTATGTTAAGGGGGGGGGGGAGGCACCCTGATATTTAATTTGTTCTTGATGGATTGTATCATATAAATTTTAAGTTATTGGGTGAATCCTATTTATGAATTTTTCATGCTTCTGTAGCCACAAGAAAGTTAGTTTAATCTTCAGTATAAAAAAAGTGAACTTCACTCTTTTAGTTGCTCATAAATTGTCCTCAGAAAAAACTGTGTTATGCTCAACTCTTGCCAGTTAGATCTATACTGACAGTTGTTGTCTATTTCAGATTAGAGCATAATTCAAAACCAAAATTTATGAAGAAAGCAGCAGAAGAAGATGATGATGAAGATGATCTAGATGATCTATCAGAATCAGGGAAAGGTAACTAAAGATTAAATAAACCTAGGGTAGATTAAAAATGATTTTTACCTTTAAAGATACACTTCTTCAATTTCAATCTTCATCAAAATTGTGTGATAGTATTGCCTTAGGTATGTTTAATTTTAGGTTTCATACTTTTGTAAAGTAGGCCATTTTTAAGTTAATGTGCTTTGAAATATAATAGTCCAATATCCGAATTCAATTCTCCCTGTGTTACTTGTACTGGAAATCTTGATGCATAATCGTTAGACACTACTGTCCATCTCCTTCATAAACCAATCATGACAGCATTTTTCTCTAAATATACTTCTTTTAAAAAGTAATATATTTCTTTTGCTTCAGAAAAAAGAAAACAATTTGAACAGAAGAGAAAATTACACTACAATGAATTTTATGCTGTTAAGCTAGCGAAGCAGTTAATGGAGGAGGAGGATGAGGAGGAAGAGGATGATGAAGAAGAAGAGAAGAAAAATGGACAATGACAATCTCTGAAGGAGTAGACTGACAGTGACAGTTATCTTCTGTATTACTTTTAACAGTTGGCGGACCCCAGTTCATACTGCTGTTCATGAATTCCGGCCAGAACATCAGGAAGAAAGAGCCATTGAGTTCTTACCATCAAAACAACACAAAAAAGTTTAAAATGCCCTGGGCTTTAAAAGGAAATTGCATTCTTCTAAGATAAAATGGCCATTCCCAAAGTAGGAAGGACTTAAAGAAGGGCAGTGAATGGTGCTGGATCTTCCACAATAGTGCAGTTGATAAGAGTTATTTTAATGGCAAAGTCAGCTGTAGAGCATTGATAGTCTGATGGAAAGTGATTGTTCAGTGTTGCTTAATTTATCTTGCAAATGTTGTATTTCGATCAATTTTTTTCTTCTCTTTTAGATTCCCATTTGTGTAAGCAGGGTGTTGTGACTGTAGATCCAGGTTAGACCCTTTCCTCTTCTACATTTTCATGTGTACTCAGCATGCTTCTAATAAATGCTTACTGAGATCCTATTATTATTGAAAAAGCAGCTAGTCTAGAGTTCAGTCAGCTGTTGATGTTGAATGGAAAAGCAAAAGCCAATTTTCCTTTGAGATCCATCATGTTTTTTTTCTTTAATATCATCAAGCATTGTAAGTGACAGAGAAGAGGGTTCAAGCAAAATTGACAGCTCCACAGTAAGCTTAATGTATTGGTTTGGTTTTGGTCTGGATCAAACACCCATAAAGAAAGAGGGTAGAAAAAAAAAGAAATTGGAAATCATGTGGTTGCAACCAAACTTTTTTAGAGTAAGCAGTCATGGAGATAGTGAATGGTGGTTGAATCTGAAGACTATTTTAATGTATATGATGCATGCTGTTGCCATTGTTTTGTGTGTGGGCTCTTAAAGAGGGTGACTTATACGTTTCAAATGTCATGTTCTGGTATTAGCAGAACTTCTGCTCTTTACACCTGCTGTTACCTGTAGAACTGCCATACTTGTACATCTGTATGCATTCCCTTGGTCACTGGCCTGGGTTAACAGTTACAACTGAAGTGTGCAGTTCATAGTGATTTTCCTGTAGATTGTTACCACAGTAGAGGCATAATAGCAGTCATAAATGCATCTCTATGTATGCACCTTGCATGATGAAGGCATACATATAAATGCATCTCCTTTGTAGCTTCTGGTACTGACAAAATGATATATCTGTACAAATATGGGAGCTTACAAGTCGATTATCAGGTTATCTTAGATGACTGAAAGAAACTTTCAGCTGTGTTGGACAAACAGTGGAGTTAAGCTAGACTATTCTATAGGACGTCACATTAATATACCAGCAGAAATATATTAAAAGCTTGGAGTTTGTCTATGTTATTGATTGGCTTTGTCCTTTGCTGCTGGTTATTTCATTGGCCTGCTATGGTTTTTGCATATTGACTCATGCAAGATATTATGTATTATGATTGCCTATGTGTTGTTAACGCTAAGAGAGAAACTAGTTCACTATTTGCCAAAAGGAATTTGCTTTTTAATTTTCTGTTTTTTCTGTGTGTTATGGAAGACTGGCATTTCTTTACTTGGCAACCATTCCCTGCATATCCTTTCTCAGTTTTAGCCATTTAAGTATTATACTTGGCAAAGCGCTTGCCTTGTGTTTGCTGTAAAATGTCTTATTTATTTGAGTACACTATGCCGAATGTCACCTGTGCAGTCAAGAAGACTGTAACCTGTTGATAAAAAGACCCCTATCTGATTACTGCAGTCAGGTGTTTCCTGTGGGGTAAAAACCGTGGTTGTTTGTTTGGTCTTTGGGTCTTTTATCCTAGACATGTATGAGAGAAAAGTTTTCATCAGTGTGATTTTTTTTTTCCTGTTGGAAGAAAGCAAGTATTCTTATGCAATCCCGTTTCATTAAAAAAAAAAAAACAAAGGGGAATGTGCTGCCATATTTTTTCCCCTGCATTTGTCAAAAGAAGATATCTTTGGAAAAGTCTGCTTATAAGAAAAGAAAAAAAATGAACTATTGATTTGAATCTGTGAATGTTCAAAAAGCATGTCTTCTAAAAGAAGAATGTTCTGGTGCAATAATTTTTGTGGGGTTTGAATTCTATCGTAATACCAGTAAATTTACTGAATCGTTGACAAGTTCCGAAACTGTTAAGGACATTAATTAGTTCAGTATTGCTATAGCATTCATAAATTATATCTGCAGTGCAGATTTGTTGCAGTAGTATAGATTTTCCTTTGCCCCTTTGCCGAACAATTGGATGTGTGTCACTGAAGCCAAAACAAGTAGTTTTTATCATTACATGGGTTGTTTACATTAAGGACAAAACTTAATTGTGTATAAATAACGTTGCTTAGATACCAAATGTATATGGAGCACTAACTTTACTTACTACAATATTGATTTTTTTTACCCTTCATTATGGTTAGGAAAATGTTATCTATTAAATAATCCATGACTATCAATTTGGTTGTAATGATGGTCAGAGTTGCTGAGGGGGGACTGAAAGTATGTTATTACAATATTGAGAGTTGAGGTACAGTTTACATGTATCATGAAAATGGATGTGGTAGAGGAACTTAACACCATGGTGCAGATTTATAGATTGGAAGTATTAAGACTATACTAATTGGCTTTTGTTAAATTTTCCTATCTGACACAATCAGAATTCTCTCTTTTTTACCTTTATGACGTCTCAGATTGTTATTTAAGTAATTTACTTCTGAGCATGTTCATTTATTTCTTTTGTTTAATCTGTATAATGCTGTTACTACAGGCTATCTAAAACAGTGAAAGAAAATAAATAGTAAATATGGTTGTGATAAATTGTTTATTCTCTTTATGTCTTGCCATCTGCTGTAAACTGCTTTCTGTAGGAAGGACTGCCAAAATGGAAAATAACTAGAATTTCAGGTCCTCGGAGAGCGCATACTTTAATTCTCATTATAATTGGTTGACTAATTAATTAATTAATTAATGGACCACCTCCAAAATCTATTCGTGTGTGAAGTTTCAGAATTGTTTATCAGAATCCGCCCACAACCTTTTGAATAATGTTGGTAACAGACTGACATAAGCGATATCAAAAGCGATCTCCTAAGTGGAGGTAATTAAAGATGTTTGCTTAATGTTCTCTTAAAATACACGCATATCTAAATAAAGCCGCTGAAACTACGCAACTTGTACACCTTCAACGTTACACATGGCTAAATATGCTTCAGAAAACGCACGTAATTGCAGAAAAGGCGCATTACCATGTGGAAACACAAACACGGAGCCCTCCATTGTGTTAGGAGGGACAACAAGCATTGCCTTTTGTTTTTGAACAAGGGGCTGTAGCCTGTATGACATATACCCTCCTCTATCACATATTGATTTTTAACTAGATATTTACATACGTACGGTAAGATACGTATGTCTCGACCTAGTTCATGGCACAATTATCTGCTGTAGAAAAATGCACATAATTTATCTGCAGCCCTTGTAGATGGTAACTGTACAGGATAAATTCGCAGAGTCCATAATTTGTAGACAGTTGACAGCTTCGCCTACGGAAATCTACAAGGCACGACACAGCAACCGACACATGTTCGAAAAAAATTTGCTTAATGGAACTCAGCTGGCAAAGTTTTTTAAATGATCAACGTATTGATAATTGTAGGTTATTCTACCGACCTTGTTTATTATAATCATGCATGTTATACTTAGGATATGCTTTCATAATAAATTCAGTCTTATGCATCTCTCTCTCTCTCTCTCTCTCTATCTCTATCTCTCTCTCTTTTTCTTCATTTGATTCCCTTGGCAGCCAACTCCTCCTTCACGCGGGACAGGTATGTCGGATCAGGATAACCATATCTGAAAGTATACAATGAAAGTAAACAAAAAATTTTTACGATCTGAAAATAGTGGATATTATCAATGCAAAATAGATAATTATGACAGTATGTGGGATACGGACAATAATATAACAACCAATCTCTAATGATCGTCCTTTCCTGCATAAAAAGAAGAAGTAAAATAAATTCAAAATTATTCACCTCTGTGGGCCTCCGGTGGGGCTGGTCTTTTGATGGATGTCGTTCCATACAACCACCCCCTCTCTCCCCGTGGTCACCGATCTCCCGACTGTGAACAGAAGACGGGCTTCGAATGCCCTCTGCAGCAACTTCAGCACCTCTCGTCCTTCTTTACTGTCAGGTAAGTACGCCGTCCTGGAAGTCCCTTTGTACCGTGACCCTGGGTCTGGGTGTTCGGACTGAAAGGAAATATATATATATATATATATATATATATATATATATTAGTGAACCTAAAAAGTCACAGAAAACTACTTAAGACTACCATACATTATTATTATGGTACCCTAGTATGGTATTCTAAAATAGTTTTCTGTGGGTTTCAGGTTCTTAAACCAATCAAGGTGACAACCGAGCATGATATAATATAGCCGAATACAATATATCCGCAGCACCACGGTATAAAGTAATAATAGTACTTTTCCTGAAAACACTTTGCACTATACTAACAGGATGTCTTATTTGCTATTTATATATAGTGATAAACCTTATTTGTGTTTGTCTTATGTGAACCCATTCTCGAAGACGATTAAGTAAGTAGACACCCATAAGATACATGCATGTGATTCAGAGCTGCATCGACTTTTACCTTTTGCACACCCGAGGGGAAATAATAATCAATGACAATGGTGCCAACCCCCTCGTAACCTTCAAGTGGCCGATGCCAGTACGATACAGTCATGGTGCCGTCATCTGGCTGGTCACCTGTTTGTTCACCAAGAATGTCACCGCATATGGGACATTTGTTCTTGAGTTGTAAAGATCTATCTAAGCAGTCCTGAAAATTAAACACAAAAATGAATTACATGACTAAGTTTCCTTAAAATTAATTGTGGAAGATTTTCCCAGCAAAGATTGGTATTTTATAATAACATTTAAGAAGAGGTCATCCTCAACTTGGTTCTTCTATACTAAGTTTTAAGTCATTAGAGAAACAAAGAACGATATTTAATTGTCCACTTTAGAATCTGGCCAGTAAAACATGGTGCAATAACTAAAACATACCTTACAGAAACTATGCTTGCAACGGTCAAGAGTCGTCTTGTTCTGAAAAGAATCCATACAGATCGGACATGTTTCATCGGTGTCATGAAGCAGTTTACGGTCTGGATTGGAGACATCAGGCTGCAGCAGGTGCGTGGTGGATGATACATTTTGTGGAAATTCGTGTCTACCACTTGCTTCACTACCAATGTTGGCCACGTGCATTTGATAAGAAAGCCCCACGCTTAAGTTGTCTTCGTCGCTATCAGATCCTTCTGCATGCTTTTGATCCCAAAGACCCATCTTGTCCCTTTTTTCAAAAGTCATGTCTTGAGGGTTATGCTCAGTATACCTTTTCTTGAAAACTTTTATGAATTCGTGTACAGTTTCTTTTTTAACATCTACAATCCTAACGTCTTTGAGCGAGGTCTTCCCTTTCTGTGTCGTTTCCTCAATAGCATATAGCATTGCCTCTGCGCAGTCGTGTGCGTGGATGCCCTTTCGTCCGCTCCCGACCGCTGGCAAAGCAACGCTGCGAGCCCGAACTTCGTCACATTTTTTAAATACTTTTATCAATGTTTTTTCAAGGATAGGAATATGCTGATGTGTTGCAACTGTGCGCTTTGATGGACCAATTGCATGAAGTACATAACTGCACAGCAACTTTCCTCCGCTTGTTTTGACAACCTTGCCTTCTTCAAGCCTGCCGTGCTTCAAAAATTTTTTTTGTGATTCTTGGATAAGTTTTGGACCAGCAGCTGTTGCGATGGCCTTCGACACGCCTTCTTTGTGTGTCAAGTCACAGTCAGTTGTGTTTACGATAACATCGACTTGCTCTTCAGTAATATCACCGGTGCGTATAGTAAGCTCAACGTCGGGATTCAAAGAAGCGGTGAATATCTGTGTGGAAAAGCTGTGGGTTGGAGATGCCAAATTTGATTCAGGATATGGATGGTTTTGAACTCCATATATCCTTAGCATGTCTTCAACCTCTGCTTCGGGCCCAATGATGCACATTTGAGATCGACCGTCTTTCTTAATGGTTTTTGTGAAGACATTGGGCATATCAGGTAAAGTAACATATTTCTTTTTCACATCAACCACCTCGTACTTTAAACCCCCTGAAAAGAAAAGTTTCCGGTAAAAGTCGCTAAATTCTTGGAAGGCTTTTTCTGCAACATCTGGATTCGATGCATCTATTTTCAGTTGATTTCCCTCTACACACAGCTTTGCGCCGAATCTTGTTTTAATATCTCTTAACTCGTCTTTATGAAAAAGTTTGATGTATTCGAACAGAATAGGATCCACCGTTACGACGCTACTGCAAGTACCAGTAGGCTCATGTTTACTGTAGCCACTACCAGTTGCAGCGGATGGAGTTTCATAAGGAGCACTGGCACTTGGAGAGGATGGTAGTTGTTTTTGCTTGTTTGGTTTGTCTGCTAATTGGGAAACAACATTGACGTTATGACGAGACCAGTTCGGGCCTATATGCACGTGTCCTACGTCTTGGTTATTGGGAAAGCTCGCTGGTCTTTCATTCCCTTTATTCTTACTCTGAAGGTCATTGTTCGATGTACGTGTAACTGTCCCAGCTCTTGCACTGAAACGAGTAACCGTGATGCCCCCAGCAGGTTTGCCTTTGGAACCATTAGGTTTTCCTGGCCTCAACATTTTGAAACATCTGATTTCAGTAAGACGACTTATGATCAAAATTGTTGACAGCCTGAAATAAGGCAATAAATGAGATCTTTTTTCCTATTACATGTTATATTCACATATAACGCTCTGTCACGTATCTAAAAACCAACAAAACAAATATTAATCTAGACAGGTCTTACATGTAATTTCAAACTGAGCTCATAACGGTGATATGAGAATTTACCTGTAACTATGCACCACCACCCCACCCCTGTAAAGAAACCTAAACATATTTGTTTAGCAAAATGTGACTACCAGTAAATCTGTCTTCTTCTATTCGTCCCGTGTCTCTAACAAGTTTAACAGCCGTTTTTTCGTCGAAAGTCGTGAGCACCAATATCATATCCCCCTGCTCAAAAGACATTTTGGTCAGCAGTCTGTCTCGCTCTTGCGCTACTCTCTCCCTGCAATGTTTTCTCCATGCATTGTTCTTAGTGGTGTCTACCATTAATTGACAAAAAACTCAGTACTATCTCAAAGATTTTTAACTAAAAGCAACAATACATTGGCCCACAAACCTACCTGTCTGTATGTGGCTGTCCTTGATATAACCACTCGAACACAGAGCTTGTTTATTCTGCAATCAATAAACTAATTTGTTTATGAAAAAAGTTCACCGTAAATGTCCCAGCGCATGACAAAAAGAACTGGGTCGCTTCACAAACAACGCGTTGGTCTCTTTCAAACCGAAAGTGCGTCGCCATTATCTGTAAAAGATCATGGCATGCTGTTTGTAGTTGTCTGACGCCATTTTTGCTTCTGATTTTTACAGAAGGCAACAGGTAAGAAGTGGGTAGTTGAAATTTAGAGTTTATATTGTAAGTATAACAATGCGTTTTGAAGCTTGTAAATTCACCTTGCCCAGGTGAAGCCTGAAGAATAGTCCCCGTTAGCCGTGTTAGGTCACGAGGCATGTGAATGATTTATATATAAGAGCCATTAAGAAGCTTTACGTAGCTATTGCATGCCTTTTGCCAAATGTATGAATGTGTGTACAGATTTTGTATCAAGCAAGGAAAAGATTGCACAAAACATAATAACAATTGTAGAACTTTTACTGGGAATTAGATTCTACAGAGTTATACATGTAGTTCTCACTATCCAGACTACGTTCCAACACTCACTTAAAACTGTTCAAGTAGTTTACAGGGTGGTACTCTCCACAAACACAATAACTGTGCATTCTCAGCAAAGGTTACATGTATGACGGCTTTCAAAAATGTGCATGCTAAAGGTAAACAGAGAAAATGATCAATACCATTATTTTCAATTCATCTGTTCAATATTTTAATCCAGTCCTTGAGTAAATAGGCCTACACTTCCATGTCTGTTTGTCCTTAGAACAGCAATGAACAGGTGTGACTTAGCAGTCCAAACACATACATTTTCTACTGGCTTAATTTCAGTGATGTCACAACTTAATAACCTTAACTGCCCGCCATCCAGCTCTGGTACAACTGGAAGTGTTATAGAAGTTACGGGATACCCACCCAGGACAGACGAAGAGACGATCGACCTTTATTTCAGCCGCAATGAATTTGGTGCCCCAGATATAACGGCAATCACTATCTCTAAAAAGCGCAGCGCTATATATGTGACATTTGCAAATGAGTCAGGTACAGTATAGCAATATATTTGATATTTATTTATTTTATCATACTTCTATGTTTACTGAGACGTATCGCTTGATTGTGCTTTGCCGATAAACGAATTTCCGACGCTGTACCTATACAAGTGGTCTGTATAAGTAATTTGCATATATGGAGAATCTTTTTCCAAGAAGGGCTTCAATGAGAAAACAATTAATTAATTTTAAAATGAAAAAGATTGTTTATTTATTGCAGAAAGGGCAAAAGTTTTGCGGGAAAAACGCCACACCATTCGCGGCACCCTTGTCTCTGTGAGGCCAATAAGCTGCGTTCCAGAGGACAGTGTGGATTCTGTAGACGACAGAAGCGTTCTTGTGAAGGTAGTGAAGAAATACCGTCCGATTGAAAATACCACCATTTTTGTATACTTCATGATTTTCATACAACAAGGTCTTAAAAAGAAAGCAAAAGAGTGGAATCGAAAATACCTCTATATTTGCAAAGCCTGTTTCAAAAGAAGGAACTCATAATGTTTTCCTCCTATTGAATTTAGGTCAAGGGGTTATCCGATCCTAAAATTGTGAAAGTAGAAACTAGTAGTAAACAGTATTTTACAAAGGAAAGTATAAATGTTCCAAACAAAATTCCACAGACAGAGAAATTCAGATATATATGTGTCATTTAGGGTATTCCACCTGGCACCAGCCGAGAAACGGTGTCACATTTCCTGGAGAAGCTGGCTGGTCCTGATTTGACCGTTGTTGGGGCTCACACTGGCATTGATCCCACCTCCTCAGTGCTTACTTTTGATGGAGAAATAAGCGGTAGTATCTTTTTTATTCAATTTTTATGTATTACCATTTACTTCTGAAGCAATATATTTATATACTGAATAATATAGTCATTAATTTTGACTTCTTGAAAAATTATATTTTTTACTGTGAACATGGAATCACAATTCGCCATCTAGTTAATAAGGTCAAATATAAGTATTTTTCATTCTTTATTTCTTCAGATAGTGTATTCACATCTATGACACAGAATATCTCGAAAGAAAGTTTTCTCGGAACTTTTCTCACAGTGGAGCAAGTCCAGAAACCTAATGCTGTTCTTGTCAAAGGTAAATGTTTACAGTATAGGTCTATAACAGTTGACTCTCTGTTTTATATATTGGGTCATTCTTTGTAAAACAATTGTACCTTTTTGCCCAACAAAATAAAATGCTAGATTTGCAATATGTCCATTATTTACATTGCCATTCTGCTCACAGGGATCAAAGACGAACAGTATTTCAAGGAAAAATTGGAATATTATTTCGAAAGCAAAAAGAGCAGGGGTGGATCGGTCAAGGACGTTGTCATACTAAGAAATAGGAAAGCTGCTGTTGTTACGTTTCAAGAAGCAGACGGTAAGAGCACAACCATTTTACAAAGATACACTCGTAGACACATTTGCACATCTGCTCTTACTCTAAAAAACTTATTTCTATGACCCATAAAACGACCAGTAGATGTAACTGCTGAATACATTTGATACTAATATATTAAATAGCATCCTACATATGATACATAATTCGTGATCAGCTTGATTCTCAAAAAGGCTAAATATTTTATATTTAAGGAAATAAAAGACTGAACATTATGGTGGTTTTTATTTTCTCCCTAGAGCTTTTGGCTATTACCCATATCCTCTGGTGAATGGTGTTGATAACGTAATTTTACGGCAGAACAGAAGTACATTTCTCGATCTCTCTTTACTTTGAAATTATGCATTTGTACAAAAATGTAAATCGGCTAGATTTATTTGAAATGTGAGTTTTTCAAAATGTTCACACGTCGATCTATTCCTTTACTGTAGTTGCGAAGAGAGTTTCTGAGAATTCACACACCCTCGAAGGTCTCCAGTTGCATGTCAGTGTCTATTACCGTGAAATCGGATATGAAGAAGATGACGACGAAGAAGATACCGGAGATTCCTGGACAATGGAGTTCCCTTGTGACCCACACATTGTATCCTTCTTAAGTGAACGTCCTGCTCAAAAGCGCCGTTTGGCTGGTAATCTTAAGCCGATTCATGGGTCACTCCCTCAATCCTGGATAGATGTCACCACCAACCAAATACGCGTCGTGGCCGACGAAAGTAAACGGATGGACAGGAAAGAGAAGTGGGAAAAGAAATGCGCTGAAGTGGTTCAAGAGTTTCTTGATGGTTTCACAACGAAATTAGTCCATTTTCCTGATTACGTTTGGTCTAGGATTGAAGAGGAGTGCGAAGTGCATACCATTTATTACCAAGAGTTAATAGATGTACAGGTCGCCCCTGCGTCTCACAACGTCCGAGTAACTGGTGTTGAAGACGAATGCCAAAAGATCCTCAAAGGCTTTGCTCGAATTCAGAGGGAGGAGAATAAAAAGTCAAAAGAAGAAGAAAAGGAAACAACCAAAGTTTTGACTGATAAGAACAAAGCCAAATTAGCCCTCATCGAAAGAAAAGGTGTCGCTGGTGTACCACCGGGAGTTGTCGTCATGATTCGATCAAATGAAGGTAAAATTGAATTCAAAGGAAAGGCCACTCTAGTGGAGAGAGCTGTTACAAAATTCCTAGAAGTTCTTACTTCAATTATGGAAAACAGCATCCGCGTCACCGACAAACATTTTGTCAGGATTTTGGCGTCAAAAGAAGGCGAGGAGAAAGTCCGATGTGTACTCAAAAAAGCTGGTTTGGACGTCGTTCATGAAGTCACGGGAAAGGGATCTGAATGTACGATGCGTTTTTATTCGTTTTACGCTGAGGCAACAGAAAAAGCGGCAGAAGTCATTCAAGGCAGTCTGACCACTCAAAGCATCCCCGTGCAAAAGGCCAAGCTTTCATATTTGCACACCGATCCTTGGGAGGCCCTACAGGAAAAATTGGTCAAAGATTTGTGCGTAAGTATTCAATGGTAATTGAATTTGAAACAAGATATCTAAAAATCTTGAAAATTAAGGGTAGATACGAGAGTATGATTGGAAGAATGATAGAGAAATAATAATAGTCTATATTTGTTAATCTATGTACGTATACTGGAAGTATGATGCTTAACATTAACTATAGGAAAACTTTCCAACGGTGAAGCTAATCAACTATCATTAAACATCAAATAATAATTACGTATTGACGACTACATTAACTGTAAAATAATTTTAATGCCAATGTTCCATTTAAGGTTTGGATGGAGGTTACAGACTTGAGAGATACGAAAACTGTTGTGGTATATGGTTTTAGCGATGATGTAAAAGAGGCTGCGAAGCAGATAACGCATCATTTGGGACAGAAACCAGTTGCAAGCGAAACTATGTCGATTCTCCCCGGCCAGGCGGAATATATAATCAAATTTAAAGGTGAAGTATTTCCAACTGATTTATGCAGTATATACACCTCGGTTTTTTAACTTATATACACCGCGTTTAAATTTTTCTGTTGCACCATTGGTTATAGACCTGACCGCTGAATTTTTTAACATTCAATAGTATCCGAGATTAAGAAGTTGGAGAAGGACAAAAGAGTGCAAATTATAATCAACGGGGACAACGGGGAGTTGATTATCCAGGGCCCAACTGATAAAGTAAGTACACACAAGAGGAAATTACTAAAAAAGGTCAACTTAAACACTGATGCTCTTTTGATAAAAAGGGTTCCATGTACTAAATCCATTACTATTTATGTATTTCTATACGTTTGATTCAGACTGATTTTCCTAAGAAGGAATTAAAGCTAACGTTGCGTATATTTGAAATGAATATATTTAATAAATGCTCTTTAGAAAGCGTCTTCATCGTGTCTTTTGTTGTAGATCCATGAAGCTGAGTCATCACTAAAGGCATTTGTTGACAAAATTAAAAACAAACAGGTCGCCATCAAACAGCCAGGTAGGTATATTAAAGAAAGATAGAAAAAATATCACCATTACAATGCTTGAGAATAAGTTTAACTACACGTAGGAGAAACAGTGAGCAAGATTTTTTATAACTTTACGTTTTATATTATTTAATTATTGACTATTATACGATTTGGGTGATTGTAGTGTCATGAAGTAGTATTTTGTTGCGTTCCAAAAATTTCAGGAATGGTTTCAAGCATGCAGAGCGGTCCCGGGCGCATTTTGCTGGGGGACCTTGAGAAGAAGAACAATGTTTAGGAAAGTTTGGCGTAGTCAAACGACATTTTATGGCGACAACAATCTCCAGAGCTTATTTATGCACATGGGCATTCTGCACATGCTCAATTGTGCCCTAGAGGGGTAATCTCCTTTGATGCACATGTTGCTACTTATACCATGGGGCATCACTGCCTGGCCTCATTTTGCTTGATTCATTCTGTTCACGAGTATGATACAATCAAGCTACAAGTTATCTCAAATCTGCAACTGAAATCTTCAGTTCAAAAAATTTCATTTTACCTCTATGAGAACTTTCCAGCAGTTCACTCGATCTGTTGAAGCGTACAGTGACAGATTCTGCACAACTTCAAGCAAGGATTAACAGTACAATTGCTGACTGTTACATGAATGCGGTAAGTTTTAGTTTCTCTAGCTATTTAGCAGTTGCAGTTGACAAAACGTTCTTTATCCAGGTGTTGCTTGTTTACTCGGATAGCGGTCACTGCGACTGCACAAAGCAATTAAGGGTCCTTGCGTGTAGAATCTCCAGTCACCTGAAGACATAGGCGGACGCAACGTCCCGAAATTTATTGGATATCACACGGGCACATGCTTTGCCGATTCAGTTACCTACTTTTAGTTTCCCACTTCTATCATATTCCTCGTCAGGCGTTTCACTGTTCAGGGTAGATACCTTAGCAAAGTAGAGTATCTTGCTCAGTCTGACCTGCACATCATTATAAACCAGCTCAATCCAAAAATCAACCCTCCTTTCCTCATCAACTATTCGTTTTTGTTATCACTGAAGTTACCATTTACGCNATAAATATAGCTATCAAAGCTGCGGCAAAACCGTCAGTCTCCACCACGGCAATGGTAAATGAGTGAATGTTTTTACTCGTCCAATTGAATTAGAGTGATAACTTTGTATAACTTTGATACTGGAACTTGCGTTAAGAACAGTCTTATGACATGTAGGTCAGATGACCAGTCCATCCAGGTCATCAGCTTGGGAAGGGTCTTAGGTTGAGACTGCAACATCAGTCATTTGCTTACGTAGGTTCCACTATCAGAGTTATTCGAAGTTATCAGACAACGGTAAATGTTTGCGTATATTTTACAAAAATTATACAAGTAATGTGTTTTTATACAGTTGTCAGCGTTGCGAACAGCAAAGTTTTGACGATCTTTTGACGCGTACTCCCAAATAAACTTTGCAGGAATTAGGCGCTTTTTAAAGTAAGGCTCCAATATAAGCTCGTCATTTATTTAGCACTTCTACTTGTCACATCTGTTGTGTTATTTTGCAGTTAACAGCGGCGAGTCCAATGTCGACCGGCAGCTTTACCACGCCCGAAGGCATAAATATAACTTTGGTCGAAGGAAATATCGAACAAGAAACGGTTAGTGAACTTGGGACAGAGTTACCCTGGCTAATTCTAATTTTTAAGTATTAGTTATCTAATTTTACTTTTAGTACTAGTAGTCTTATATTACGTAATGAATAAGCGACAAATATGTAAATCAAAAATGAGAAGCTCTCAGTAAGAGTGTTATCTTTCGTAACAAGGAACCTTTAATTTTGTGGTCTCTTTATGCTGTTTCTCTTCGTAAACAAGGCTGATGTTATAGTGAACAGCATCAAGTTCGACATGGATCTTAGTGCCGGAAATGTTTCTGCTGCCATTGCTCATGTTGCTGGACCTCAGCTTCAACAGGTAGGTTACGTTATGGATTTGTTTCAAAAATCAACTTATTGAGTTGAAATGTCGCATAAATTCTGAATTCTGATTACAGCCAATAGTAATCCCCTGATGCCACCAATAATAAGTGAGATAGGGCTCAATTAGAAACCTTGGGCAATATTTGGCATTTTATTATTCTGATGAATTACAATGATTTTTTATTTGTGATGATAATCATCTACAATTCCCCACAAGGAATGCACGAAGATAGGGAAAATGTCAGCTGGAGAAATGAAGAAGACGGGTGGCTTCAATCTTCAATGCAAGGAAATCTACCATGTCGTCTGTCCGGATTGGGAACCAGGAAAAGAACAGGTTTGCCTGGTCTTATTTCCCTCATTATTTCTAGTATTTTTGGTCAATGGTTTATCAAAAACTTCGTACATAATTTAACTTGCTTCCTCTTTTATACCCATGCCTGTAGTTTTGGCACACTTTTGTGAAATCTTAGAATTTATGATAAAACTACCTCGATAAGTTTTTCGAACCGTATTATCTTCTTGTTGAAATTAGAACTGTTAAAACTGCAGTGTAACAACATTACCTGTCAGCTTTTACCAGTTGCAGTATTTTACGTACTTTTAATTCCAGGTTCTTTCCAGTCTTATGTCACAGTGTTTAGCACAAGCACACCAGGATGGAGTGTCATCCATAGCATTTCCAACTATTGGAACTGGAAACCTGAAGTTTCCGAAAGAAGCTGTCGCTGACGTTATGTTTAAAGAGGCCGTGCAATTCAGTGCAAACAACTCGCAGACCAAAGTCAAGGCAAGCGAAAAGCATTTATCTCTCACTCAGTGAATTTAACTATTATTTCATTCATTTTAGCAGCGCAGTATGCACTTTAAATGACAAACATTTGAAGCCATTTATGTTCTGAAAGGGCCTTTTAATCTTATTGGATGCGTTTTATTTCGTTTTTGCCTCATAGGATATTCGATTTGTTCTCTATCCCCAAGATGCGCAAAGTATCACTTCTTTTAAGATGAAATTGTTAGAAGTACAGGGGCGGCCAAAAACCGTGCGTATGCGTCGAAGAGGTAGGTATATTTTAAGTTTCTTTCTTTAAATTATGTTTCAGGTTTTCTTTTCAAATGCAATTTATCAGTACCTGTCATTACTTAATATCAATAATCTGAAAATATTACCAAGAGCGCATTGTGGTTTTAGGAAACATGCGCATCAGGTTATAGCATGGTTTCAAATGAATAAATGCCAGTGTTGTAAAGATGGATTTTACAAATGTAGTTTTTAATAACTTTCAGTTTCAAAACCAAATACGCCTGGGCTTACTTTAAAGTCAATATCAGCGACATGCACTGAGACCGATCATCATGGCGTTACCATTCAAGTCCAACAGGGTGACCTCACAAAAGATAAAGTTGATGTCATAGTAAATACGTCAGATGACAAATTGAGTTAGTTAACTATTATTATTATTATTATTATTATTTGTTGTTGTTGTTGTTGTTGTTGTATGAAGATGGTGATTATAATTCCGTTTTAATTGAGTCACTATGTATTTGCAAAATTGTAAATGGTGATTAAGCTTGATATCTTTATTATATGGCTATAGATAAGCAGATGTTTATTAGCATATTACTGTTTCGTCTACTGCACGTGCTATTCAGTTCTCTGTTTTTGTCCATTAAGACTTTGGAAAGCTGGGTGACCACATTGTGCAGCAAGGTGGACAGAGCATAAAGGACGAATGTGACCAACATGCCGGCAATGTACAGAAAGGGCAGATAATTGTAACAGGTAAGATTCGTTTTATGCTTTTATCAAACAAAAAATGTGCATATGGTGTTGTTATGTTTAAGCATTCAGAAGATTTCCATTGATAAAGTTCACAGCAAAGTGAACCAGCAATTTGTCATATTCAAGATTGCATTTGACTGCAACGAAAGAGATTCGCCTTTAAAGATGATACATTTCATGAAAATTTTACAATGAAAGGTACCATTGTTTTATAGGTGCTGGAAAATTGCCGTTCAAAAAGGTATACCACATGATTTTGACACACAAAAATTTGATACACCAATCCGTGGAAAAGTGCTGCGAACTGGCGGAGAAATTCCGATGTTCTTCCATAAGCTTCCCTGCCATTGGGACAGGTGTGTGCGACAGACAGTTTTAAAAAGTCTACATTTCCCCCCACTCCAAAAAAATTAGATAATAATAATAAAGAAAAATTAAAGATAAGTAATAATAGAATAAACATGTCTTAATGTACATATATTTGCAACACCAAATAATTATAAACTACATCAATTCTAAACAATCACATATATATATATATATATATATATATATATATATATATATATATATATATATATATATATATATATATCCTTCGAAGGAAATGCGAACGTGCCTGTGGCCGAGTCAGCCAAAGAGACGATTGACGGCATTCTTGGCTTTGTTGAAAAGACAAAACCTCGCCATCTTCGGTGCATACGTGTCACTATATTTGACCAGAGACAGGTGGGACAGTACCATAGTGAACTCAGGTGTAGGGGAACGGCGCCGGTGACTGGAACAGCCGCAGGTATAATGGGTTTTAGCGATTATATATATTATTACAAATATATTATCAATGAAAAAGGTGTATTTCATATTATGTAAGTGATATTCATGTATGGGTGTTATGGTTTTGAATAGAGTATAAGTCACAGATATATTGTTGGTAAAGGATTAATGGTGTGTGTGTGTTTGTGTGTGTTTTTGTTTTGTTTGCTGTTTATATCATTTATTTCTTTTATAATTAGTTATGGGCAATGGTTTCGTTTTGTGGTAAACGTGATTCGTGTTAAATTTTTATGAACGTATTCAAATTTTATGTAAAAGACAAAACAATTTCAGGTTATTGGCGATGTCAAGATAATAATTGTTTTCATGAAATTTGGGTATTTCCCCGATATGATCTCTTGATTTCTATCTAATTGTAGGCATTACAATTAAGTCGGAGAAGCCTAACTTTATTGAGCTGTCTTGTAATGCAGTTACTGTTCAAGTCAAGCAGGGCAATGTTATGGACGACACTGTTGATATTATTGTGAATACTGTTGACTCCGGACTTAGTAAGTAACACTCGTTTTCCAGAGTTCTCAGTAAAGACAACGTGACATTTAAGCCACACAATGAGCAATTGATCTTTTTATAGAACATTTTGAATTTTCAGTTTC